CAACAACAACAACAACAACACAACGATGACATAGAGTCTATTCCATTTGGGCAAGCTTTCGAGCTATCCTTAAGTACGACATGCAACTCGGACGTCGTAGCTGGAGGAGACCAGTGAAGGGATAAGGGATAGGTTGAAGACGTAGACGGACACGCCACATGCTCCATCTACAACGGACGGTTGCACCAAGAAAGACTTGCCAAAAGGCACAAAGACTGTCCATGACTGCAGGAATCTCTCTGGCACTTGGCTTGTTTTGCTACACGTGCCGCTGCAACTTCAGGTAAGCAACAAACGCGGTAACCTGCCTCGGCATGCGGGGCACCAAGGGATCAACGCAACCAGATGGAATTTACACCCGGAACGTGCCATCTGTGCGATGCAAGCTGCTTGTCGAGTATGGACTCTCCGCTGAAGCTGCCCTCCGACACCTTCCGCTGCACCTCAGCCGCGAGGTGTGTCACAGCCTCTCGCCATGTTCTGTTACTCTGCTAAAACATGCAAAGCACATTATATGATCGCGACTAGTTTTCTGTGGCCTGGCCTGGAATGAAATCCTTCAGGATATGTACGGCTGTAGGCCCCTTGCCATTCTGCAGTAATCCTCATCTTCCGTGGCCACCTCTATGCACGAAGACGTTACTGTAGGGGAGGTTCGCTCAAGGAACCGCCTGTCCCGCCTCACTGAAAAGGCGGCCCTTGTGCTTGCCGACAGTAAAGGTTTCATCCACGTCATCATCTTCCCTGTCAGCCACTGCAGGTTTGGTAAAACCCTGCCAATTCCCGTTGGCTCTATGGCTCGCGCCTGTCGCCATCCCCACTCCCTGCCCACCGCTGTCCACGACCCTGGCACAGCCTGCACGACGAAAGCTTTGTAGCAACGGATTCCTCGCTTCGTGGATTCTTCTTGCTACTCTCCCGCGCCCTGCGCGTGCGCGCGCCTCAACCACTCAACAGGCACATCTCCACCTAGCTCAGCTGCTGCAGAAAGCGCGGCGACATCGTAGAGTAGAGTCCTGGCACCATCTCGTCAAGGGCCCCCAGATTTCGATCACAGACAGCAGTTCCTTCGACAGACAGGTACTATGAGTATCATAAGGCTTGCCTGAGGCCCTCCAAGGCTGACGCAAGCAAAGCGTCCCACGCTGCAGTCTCAGCAAAAGGGTGGCGATACCAAACAACGAAAATCAAGCAAGAACGTTCGAATCTGGCCTCCTCGCTTGCCAACCATGGATGAGCTTTTGCAAGGCAGCGCTGCCTCTGCCAAAGGCATTTCGTGCTTCATAAACCGAACCTTGCGCATTCCTCTGCCCACCGCACATTGCCGAGCCTCTCAAAGCTGCACATCTCTTGGGTAATGGCCCGACGAAATGCCTTCACAGAAAGGCAGGGTCGAATATACAGCAGACCAGAAAGCCCACGCCAAACATCACTGCAACAATCAAGAATGCGGAGCTCAACGTCACTGTCTAATGCTGGCACGTTGAACTGCAAACTGCACGGCTTCGCCTGCTGCTGCTTCGGGAAAGGTGAAGAACACGTTTTCACAAAAGCCAAACTCGGCTACTCTTGATTAAAATTTCGCTTGGTCAAGGTTTCAGCCTGCTGTCGTGGGGTTTGCTTGTCGAATCCCAGTCATCGTGCATGATGCATCCGGATCTTTACAGCCTTTTCTGCCCGGCACCGTTGTCAGGATGCTGAACTTGATTAAGAATCGCAAATCCAATCACTGTCAGCCCTCGGGCGAGAACAAGAATTCCTCCAGCAAACTCATTTGACGTACCGAGGGGTTCGTTTGTCTTCGAACGTGTGCGAAAAAGCCTCGAAACGCATGAAGCCCCGAGGAACGCGCGACAAGTGCCCCGGTACGACACAAGTGGACTGTCTCCAATCAACTTTGAGGCCCTGCGCTGCGCTCGAGGTGAACAGCCTTTACCCGTCTTCCTGCCCGACACTGTAAAGGGCGGACTTGTCAGACTTCAGGCAGCTTGAACGTAACTTTGAATGGACTCGTACTGCACAGAATCACAGTTCTGTTTTGCCGGTGCAAGCTTTGGGTGCCTGTTTGAGTTGCAACAAACTGCCCATGAAATGAGCACAGCCCACCCTTCAGAAACTTTGAGCCGCTTCCGCAGTTTGTCTGTGACCCCAAGTGTCGAGAGTCCTCCAGCTCTCGCAGGAGGTCTTCGGCAGAGGTGGCACCAGACCTCAAGAAAGTACACTTGCAGCTTGGGCCCCGCAAATAGTTTAAGTTTAAGGATGTTCCTTGCCGTCGGGCGACTCAACCCGCTCGAGCAGGCCGCCAAGGATGCTGCTCAGCTGCCGGCGGCGAGTTCTGGCCAAGCGGCCGCGCAGGTAGGCCTGGAACTGCTCGCAGTGCTCCGGGCTGCTCCAGAAGACGTGGCCAAGCAAAGCACAGTCGCAGAGCTCTACTTCGCTTCGACCACAGGTCCAGGCAGCGACCTGCATCATCCGCACTGATTGGCCAAGGCGTCGATCCGAGAGCTGAACGGCTGGCTGCAGCTTTGCAAAGAAGCGCCGGCAGTCCACCAACACCTCAACGACCTTGGGACCCACCTTCACCGTGCCCGCGAGCTCCTGCGCGTGCTGCGCATCCTCCAGGCCAACGGCAAAGCTTCCTGTCTTCGCGTCCGCAGCTGCCGCACCCGGAGGCTTCAAACAGGTGGCCTTAACCAAGTCCGGCACTCGGACATCTGACACGGGTTTAACCAACAGGCGAAAGAGCAGCCGGTCGTACAAGGCTTCGAGCTCCTCCGACTCCGGAGCTTCGTTGGAGGCCGCGACCAAACATTGCAAAGGAACTGCAACGCGCTCGGGGCCATTGTCGAAAACTCGTTCGTTAACAAGGGAAAGCAAGGTGTTCAGAATTGCCGAGTTGGCCTTAAAGATCTCATCGACGAAAGCAACGGATGCCTCAGGCAAGTATCCCGTGGTCTTTCGGACATATTCATCCCGCTCCAGGCTCTTCAGGGAAAGCGGGCCGAAGAGTTCCTCTGGAACTGAGAAGCGAGTGAGCAGGCGCTCCTGACAAGGTCTGCTGAAATTCTTGGCTAAGCTTATCCAGGAATGACAAAACAAAAGCACAACCTCATCGCTTCTGCGGATAAGTAGCAAAGAACACTGCGTCTGTGCCAACAAACCTTGTAAGCCGCCTCGCCAAGAAGCTCTTTGCTGTACCAGGCGGGCCCAGCAGCAGAACGTGCTCCGAGCAGAAAGCGGCCAGCAAAAGGATGCGGACCTCCAGCGAGCGCTCAATGAGGCCCTCCTGCACGAGCGAGGAAGGATTTCGCTGAACCTTCAAGTTGTGACGGGTGTCTGCCTCGAGGTCTGCCACGGCTGTTGAGATGCGCTCAGCCAAAGCTGAAACTTCAGGAACCTCTGGGTCCGTAGCAAGCCAGGACCTTCAGGCACGGGACCCAAGTGGCCACGTTTTCGATTGGTTCCGAATTCAAGGATGTCTGCATTAGGTCGCCAATCCGAGTCACTCGATCTTTTGCTGGGCCACGGCATTGATCTTCTGCTCGGTGGCCTGCAAAATGACTCGGCACACGAGTTGACCCCATGCGGATGCCGGATGCTGGAGTTCTGCGACAATGGCCATAGCGGCCTCGCTCCACGCAAATCGTGCGAGAGTGCTACGAGTTCTCCGGCGCCTCCAACCACTCCTGGTCGCGACAATGAAAGAGCAAAGCCCCTGAACAAGCTGCTGAAAACTCCTCTTGCAGAAGTGTGGGCTGGCCCAGGACACGGAGGCGGCGACCTGGATCCAACATGAGCTGTGAGCCGCTCAAGATGCTCGCACATGTCCGAAGCTCTGCGAAGCCCTCCTATTCAGCTTCCACATCCGCAAGGTCTGCTAAGCAATGAACCACCTTCGGGGCAGAACGAAACATGACGTTTTGGAGGACTCGAGAGGCAACTCGCCGTGCTTGGCTCAACATCTCGGTTCCTATTGAAACACTGTTTGACCCAGCTAACTTCTCCTTCGCACAGATGGGTGGGCCTTTCCAGGCTTGCTTTCTGGAGGTCAAGAACTTGCTTGTGTTCCGGCATGTTCCAGCGCAGGGAGCACGTATAACCAAAAAAACGCGTGCACTCATTTTCCAGCTACAAGCACAACCGACGGACCGGAGTCGAATTCCGCCGGGTGGCTGCCAGAGGCCCTGCGCAGTCGCCTGCCGTCTTGCGCCGCGGCCGCAAAAGTGGCCAAATCGTCCTTGCATCGGACATAGAGACTCTCTTTCTCTTCTGCGCCATGTGACCAAATCTCGCACGACGGTTAGGGAAGCTGAAAAGTCGAAGGGCTCTCTTGGCTCCTTCATGATATGCAGGATATCATGGATACTCAATGTGTCATTCCTGCCTTGGGCCCAGGACATCTGGCCGATGCTCGGCGCGTCCATCATTTCGAGAGGCAGGCGGATGACTGCATCGCAAAGCCATTAATGAAGCTTAAAGCTCGGTTGCATGGCATGGAACATGGAATGGCTCACTCGCAAAGTTCGAGCTATACAGTAGCGACTGCAACATCAAGCTGCAAAGCAAATCACATATAGACTGACCCAAGCAAGAGCCGGCTTGGAGGCAGCAATGGTCGTCACAGCTGCAGGCGAGTTCTGACCGCATAGACGTACATGGAGCCAGAAGCCATGTAGTCACCACAAAACATTTTGCCCAAGCATGTGCGAACTAACCTGTTGTCGAGTCACAAGGAAGAGTGAACTTGCCAGCATCAGAATGCTTCCAGCGATTCTCTATGGTAATGAGATACTCGCTGTGAATCTGGCAAGTCTCTGGCCAAGTCTCAAACGTGCCGTCAGATCGCAACCGAGATATGCGGTTGCTCTTTGGCTGATCCAGGGCAGCACTGGCAGCAGCAACCGTGGGCTGGAGCTGCATTCAGTAATATTGAAGATGTCAATCTCAACTGCGGTGCGCCGCTAGGAACGCACATCATGCCCTGAAGAAGAGACAGGCCAACCGTGATCCTCACGTTGGGTTGCACGCATTGGACATGCGCTGTCTGAGTGCTGAATAGTGCGGATGAAAGCATCCGCCCAACGATTATGTCTGCAGTACTCTCATGTCTGTGATCTTGCAACCCAGTGGGAAATCCTTCGGCAAGATTGGCCACTCGAACGATTGCACCCTATAGTCTTCCTAACAATGCAGGGGATATGCTACGACGCTAGTGTCGAGGCACCCCTGCTGATACGTCCTGGGACAAAAGTCCCGGCCTCAGAGACCCCGGAGCCCAGAGTTCCTGGCGAGCCACATCACCTGAAGACTGTGAAACTACTCGGAGATGCTCTCTGAAATCACTGCCACTCTCCGGCCAAGCCACGTTCATGAACTCCGAGCTGCGGCCGAGCGCCTCACCGAGTCGCAGTGGCGATAGCTGCAGACTCTGAGGTGTCGTCTGATTGTGCCACTAACTGACTTCTGTGACTGAAGGGTCACTCAGCGACCCAGAACCCTGCCTGCACTCCCAGGCCACGCATCGGTGGCGCCGTGTAGCGGCGTGCGCTGCCTGGTTCTGGGACAAGGCTGAGTGGAATGGAAGTCCTTGAACTGATAATCGAATCTAACTGACACACCTCCTGCTGAAGCTGCCTGCACCCTTCCGACTTGCCCTTTGAGATCAACCTGCACTGTGCCTCCCCATTTGCCCTTCAAGCTCCGACCAGTGGTGAAAACGTAGAGCGCCTTCAGGACAGGGCAAGTCAAGGACTCTCGTCAGCTCAGACTGGCCCCGCACTCCAGAAGGGCACCTTGGCATAGCGCTTGCGATGTTCACCATCTGTGTCACATGGCTGCGCCTGCGCAATATGCATCGGTTCATGAGTCCATGAAAGAACCTTACATGAGAACCACAGCCCGACACGTCCGAGACATTGTCTCAGAGGAAGAACATGACAGCCTTTCCATCTACTCATCGCCGCATGAAAGCCAGAATGTGCCCAGCAATCAACCAAATGCCCCATACTTAGTTTCCATCGGTGGCCAGACTGACGACAGTCATCCCGCATGTCACACAGGCAGCGGACTGGTGACCCTGAATTGACCGTTGATGGAAGCTGGGACTGAAGGGCTTCGGCCGTGAATCTGCGAGCGCGACTTAGCACCGTTGCGAGCTCAGTATCAACACGCTCGAAGGGAGAGAATATTCATGGCTATGCTCGAGCCGCAACACGATAGCCTTTGGTTGGCATGCACACGCCATGCGGCAGAGCCACCCTGCATCTCAGGCGCTAATCCCATAGCTGCAAAACCTTCCGAGTGCCTCAAAGTGCTGTCTGACGTCGCTCATGCGCAGGCCCTCCTGAAGTGCCACGTGACGAAGTTGGGGCAAATCCTTCGCGGGGCTGTGGCCGGGCCGGGCCTTGCAGTCTGCGGTGAAGAGCAGCTTGGCCAAAGAATTGCGATCCTCAAGGTTGTGAGGGTTCTGCAGCCAGCACCTGCGTGGCCACGCTGCAACAGCCGTGTGCCCCAACATCAACAAGTATGAACAACAATCCCTGTGTCAGCTGTCGCCAAGCAGCAAAGATCCATCGGATGCACGCTCAGACACGACAACGGTCTTCTCGATGGTCTCCAGTACGACGTAGTAGTTATTGCAGGCCTGAAGCACCGTGAGGTGGACTTCTGTGGGATTTCAACGACGAGCGTGTGGGCTCAGAATGGAGCTAATACAAAAAAGGCTGCTCCTTGCGTCATACAATGGACCCGGAACTGCTGGACCCAAGCCTCAAGTCACCCTTGTAGACTTTGCCTGGTTGGCGCACTGTGCGGCAATCCGACAGCCAACAACCATTAACAACCGCCCGGTAACAGGCCGGCCCTTGGGACCTCGTGCTCCATGGCCTCGACGTAGACTCGGCACCGGCTCAGCTTCTCCTTGCCGAGCACGTCCTGATGCACGGGACCCTCGCAAAGGGCCCTCTTGAGGAGTCTAGGCAGGGGGAGATGAGCCTGTGGCTTGGATCCCTTAGTCTCCCAGGACACCGCGCGCGAGGAGAAGACCACCTGAGAAGCACTTGGGCCGACATGTCCAAGCTCTACAAATCTGACCTCAAGAGCCTTCTCCACTTGTTTACAGACTCGCCCAGCAAATCAGCTAAGCTCAGTGCATGAACCATCTCAGGTTCCTCGACCTCTTGGATGGTGCGAACCTGGCCGACGAATGAGTGAACCTTTCCTGCACTCGCGACCGAGCGTTGCCTCCAGGCTGCCAAGTTTGTAGATTCGGAATGCGACTCCGTCTTCGGTGACCTGATCAAACCTGAGTGCATGTGCTGCATTGGAACAGCACAGCCCCCATGTTCACCCGCTGTAGCCATGATACTCAGGCACTGCTTTGGGAATCACGTCCTGAAGCAGTTCAGACTTCTGCTGTGCAACGGTTCACTGGCATCTAAGAGTCAGGGGCTTTGGGATCCAAGCTCGTCCTCGAGCAAGCTGTGCTTGAAGTTCTCGTCGACGTCCAACTTGACCAAGCCAAATTTCGTGGGAGCAGTGTATGAGATGCGCCTCGAAACAATTGCGATGTGGCGTCGCTGTGCCATGGTGTGCTACTCGCGGACACACGAATTTCGGGACCGGACCCCTCGTTCTCCACCTGAAAGCGGGAAGTCCAAGATCTTGGGAACTCGTTCCCGGGATTTGCCTTGGACACTGGCTCTGTGAAGCCCTTGGAACCACGGGACCACTCTCTGTCTCAGTTGTGTCAAATGCTTCTTACAGTCCAGGCGGCCATCACGAAGTTCTTGTCGGCGAAACGAACCCGTCGCCGATCGCGCATGCCACGCTCCTGTGAAAGGTCAGGCTCACACATGCCAATCACAGAAACCTGTCTGACACAGCTCTTCACCTCTGGCACAACCCACTCCTCACCAACGAGGCTTCGAACCTTCACGATGTACTCCAGATTGGGGTCCGGGGGCGTGAAAGCATCGCCCTCTTCGGTGCGATCGCACTGGGAAACATCAAAGATGTTCAACAGGAGCTTCTGGTCGTCCATCTTCATGCCGTTCCTTAGAGTGCCCGAGACGAGGTCCCTTCATCAAAGATGCTCTGCCGTGGCACATGTGGAATCTCGTGGATGAAAGAGCGCGGCCAAGGCTCCATGACTTCCGACGCAGGCTGCTAAGGAAAGCCTCCCAGTGTGACTTCCCACGCCCTGCCCTGCACCCGGGACACAAAAAAAGTCGCAAGCGTCAAGTGGAGCCTTGCCCAGGGTGGTGCGACCCTCGAGCGACTTGGCATCGCCGCTGCAGGGCGGGAGTCTGCCGCGGAACCGCTCCTCAAAGAAGTGCCATCGAGCTTGGGCACAGGCACGTTGCATAGTCGTCTTGCGCTGTGCACCCTTGTAGGTCCTCGGTGGAGAGCGAGAACTTGTCCAAATTGAGATCCACACCTGAGGGCCAATCAGACATGGAGGACGCAACACAAAACGCTCACAGGTTGATCCCTTGTGTAACCAGCTCACACATGGACCTGCAAGCCTTCTGTCAACTGTGTATCGAGGGGACCTGTAAACTTGACAGAAGCCGACCAAGCCTTGTGGCATTTCGCGCTGGCCCAGCTGGAAACGCTGTGGCATGAACATCGGCCGTCCTGACCGACAAGACGAACTGCTCCTCCCGAACCAATAAATCTACTCGAATCCGGTTCCCGGGGCCTCGCCCCTCTCCCGGACCAGTAAATTTTACTCGAATCCGGTTCTCCGGGCCTCGCCCCTCTCCCGGACCAGTAAATTTAATCGAATCCCGTTCCCCCGGGCCCCCCTCCCGAACCAGTAAATTTACTCGAATCCGGGGCCTCGCCCCTCTCCCGGACCAGTAAATTTACTCGAATCCGGTCCCCCGGGCCTCGCCCCTGTCCCGGACCAGTAAATTTAATCGAATCCCGTTCCCCCGGGCCCCCCTCCCGAACCAGTAAATTTACTCGAATCCCCGGTTCCCCGGGCCTCGCCGAGTTGTGAAGCCAAAATCAATATACAAAGAGACAATAGAGCCAAGCCCCCCTGATACATGAGTACTATGACGGCAAGAAGGGCTACTTACTCGATCTTTCGGCCCAGCTTCTTGTATCTTCTCGTGACAGTTTGTTCACAGCGAATCTCTCAGAATGCGGTGGATACATCTTGCATGAAATTGGCTTTGAGATAGTCTCATCTGCATACTTCTCAGCATGGCAACACGGTTGAACAACGAAACTTGTCCTGACTGGCCCAGCTGCATTCCAGTCCTTGTTACTTTGACGAACGAGTAGAAATTGCAGCACTTGCAAGTTTCTCCGGCATGCAACTTGTCGATTGCCCATGTGCTGATAAAGCTGCGGCTGGCCCTGCAGCGCATGTCGCTGAGCAAGCTCAAAACGGTCCAGTCCGAACCTGAGTTGCTCTGTGCTCTGGAAACTTCCACACGAAAGCATCTTGAAGGCACCCAGTCGGCCCAGTCAGCCGCTCAGTGCCGCGAAGGCTCTCCACACCGCCGTAGATTGCCTGCAGCTTGCTCTGGCCGCCTGACAGGTGGCCAAAGCTGCTGCTGGACCGCCACATGTTTGCGAGTCTCTGCTTCTCAAACCCTAGGACCCTATAGGGAGCCTGTGACCATGTCGATGAGGCGTCCGTTCTTGAGCTTGATGCGGGAGTTTCCGCGCATGTTCCACAGCTGCGGGATCTCGATGTGCGGCTCTGGTGGGGCACCCTTCACGATCTCGTCCGCCAGGCGGTACCACGACGGGTCGATGCGAGCCTTCGAGTCCACTAGGTACTTCGCCATGACGGATGCCTGAATGACGGAGTGTGCGATTTTCTTTCTCATCAACCTTTGAAGCAATGATTCTCACCGCATCGCAGGGCCCTACCTTGGCCAGCTCGCGAAGGTGGAAGATGACGCTCTTGCGCTCTGCAATTAGATCGAAGTTGCGGGTGAAGGCCTTCAGGGTTGCAGATTTACAGTTCTGACAAACACTGGCAAAAGTGCGTAGCCTGTCCGTGCAAGTAGGTAGCTTCGTGACAGTACCTCTTCCCTTGCTTCCTGCGACCAACGAGAATCAACCTGCAGTGCAAGTCCGCCTCCGCAAACTTCTTGAGCGGATGTGTGGGCACGGTCACGGGAGCATCCTGTTTCAGCTGACCGGCAGGAAACCACCTGAAGGCCTTCCACTGTTGCAGGGTCAGTACCCAGCATCAACGAACCGTTCCAGTGAACCAGCAACCTTCTGGAAACCACGAGCCGAGCTCGGCTTGCGAATTCTGAAATCACGGCGGAGCATGGCTGCGGTAGCTCCTCCAGGCCCTTGGGGGTCACAATCTGCTCGCGAGCCTACAGGGCACAATCTAAGACGCATCATCGCATCGCACATGCGTGTGTCGGAAAAACTTCGAAAGAGAAGCCAAGGTTCGTGGCCTCCACGCCCATGCGAACATGCGGGATGAGAGTCTGATCTTCGGCCATGCGGACCTCAGCCTTCTTCACCACGAACCACTCGCGGCCTCAGTCCCAGATCATGCAGAAACGCACTGCGGCCCGGGGGGTACGGCAATGGGGTCGCAGCCAGACCAGGTCTTCTCCTTGTCGCCCATCTCGGACCAATCAAAGACGCTGAGCATGCCAAGCACAGGCATGGTGTACTCGCCAAGAGCCAGCTCCTGGTAGCGGGAAAGTCCGTGTGGTCTTCATCGCAGTTCTTCACGTCCGATGTGCTTGCTTTCCAACATGTTGACACCCACAACTGCCGGCGCCCTTTCCCAACCCCACATGCCTTCAAGAAGTAGTCTGCCTGGAACATGACATCGCCGGCGCTTGTTCCAGCCAGCCAGGACGGCTCGAAGACCTTCGGTCCATCTATCTATCTATCTATGTGTCTGTCTGTCTTTCTGTTTATCTATCTATCTATCTATCTGTCTGTCCGTCTGTTTATCTATATATATCTATCTGTCTATCTATCTACCTACCTATCTATCTATCTACCTATCTATCTATCTACCTATCTATCTATCAATCAATCTATCTATCTATCTATCTATCTATCTGCCTGTCTATACTGGCCATCTATCCATCCATCTATCTACCCGTTGCTCTATCTATGACACTACGTACCCATCTATCTGTCCATCTGCCAATCTCGTCACTTGTTTGTCTGTCTATCTGTCTGTCTACCTAGCTCTCAATCTATCAGGGTCTACGGTTTAGGGTTTAGGGTTTTGGGGTTTAGGGTTTAGGGTTTAGGGTTACTATCCATCCGATGACATAGAACGTGTGGTTACACCGACAGCATATCTGTTGTATACGTCTACGGCCCGTGATGGTGTTCGGTATAGCCTCTTCCTTCCTCTCTCCAGGCATTTGCTGAAAGCTTCCTTCCCCGTGGTAGGTGTTCCATGTAAGCCGCTGTGCGGGGTGGATTCCCTAAACCCTAAACCCTAAACCCTAAACCCTCTGCTTGGTCTTGACACTTGTGAGGCTCCGATGTAAGCCGCCTTGGCTTCTCCAAGAAGAGAAACCAAAGCATCGAGACAAATCCGCCAGTCATTGATCAAGCTTCCTTCAACTATACGAAGGCCCAACAACCAAAATGAGATCTGGGATTTTGATACATGCTTTCTGAGCTTGGGGTTTAGTTTAGTTTAAGAACTTCTATGTTTGATGTTTAGAGTTTAATGTTGGGGCATGTGGGAGGCCTAAGCCCAAAGCCCCAACCTAAACTCTAAAACCCTCAGCCTTAAACCTCTGCACCCCAAGCCTAAAAGCTGAAACCCTAAACCTCTAAAA